ATACATACAAATTGAGGTATTGTAATAAACACGACACAGATCATCAGAGAATTTAAACATACAACTTGAGGTATTGTAATAAACACGACACAGATTATCAGAGAATTTAAACATACAACTTGAGGTATTGTAATAAACACAACACAGATTATCTGAGAATTTAAACGTACAAATTGAGGTATTGTAATAAACACAACACAGATTATCAGAGAATTTAAACATACAACTTCAGGATCTCGAAAAAACTCATATTTGATCAGATCACAAAGTAAAACTGAATATATCTCAAAGAAGTCGAGCCTACATTGTTAAACACCCTAAAAATAACTGGCTCCATACAGGAGGAGACATAGTCACAATACCTGTTTATCTTTACCGTGCTAAAGATGGAAACCAAGTTCAAATACACTGGCAAGTTCTTAATATAAATATTCACGTTAGTATCAGTGTATACATAATCGCGTTGGAGATGTGGGCTTGAGTACCTACTTGTATGTAAAATTCATTATCATACAGTGAATGAAAGTTGCAAATAGAAATATGGGAACGCTATGTAAGGTTGGGTTCAATATAAAGACGTCTCCAAACCCAAGATACCTCTTATAATCTTTACACAGTAATTTATACTTTGGCGTTATTAATTCTGTCCTTGGGGATTGGCGCGTGTTTGTAACGATCCCATTATTTATTGCAATGTGTGTGCGTGTGTGTGAGAGATACCATTTCAGTGCTTGACACCCCCCCCCCTTTATTACCACATTATATTTATAATTATTAGCTTTCGTTATAGAATATATATATAAAACAAAAAAAAGATTTGTAACCAATCCCTAGGTTAATCTTAAAAAAAACAAACAAGCGGTAACGTTTGAAATAGATAAGTGGGTGTCTTGTCAGTAAAAACTCTAGCAAATTTTATATCCCAGCTATCCGGTTTACTGCTACAATATAAAAGTACATATTATGCATGCCGTTTATATATACCCACTTACATACCAGTATACCTGGATTAATTCCAAGTACAACTCCATAAAATGACCCCCCCCCCACCCACACACACACTCTAAAAAACCTTACAATGCTTATTGCATGTTTCGAGCTAATGTTGCCTAGTTGTTTTGTTTAGAATGACTTCCTAAAATTCTAAATTTTGTCTTATTAAAACATTACTAATATATAACAATATAAATGAAACACGTGCCATGGAAGACTGATTCACTCAACAATATCATTGATTGTTTTAGCGCAAAGGTAAAAAAATTAGCTTTATAAACTCTATTTACTGCGGGGAACGGAGCCGCAGATAAAATGTGGCGTTAAGTATCGCTAATCCACCAGGGGCTCATCAGCACCGATAAAGTGTTAGGTGTAAACAAACGCGGTGTGCGAGTTCATGTTTGATAAAATGCGTTACATTCTTTCCCACGCATTGAATAAAAACTTATAAAAAAGAAATATCTGAAGAAACGAAACAAGCCTTGAGTACCGAGAGCAATTTGAAATATTCTGTACAAGAAGTTCTAATTTCAGCATTTAGAAAAACAACATGAAAATCATGGTAGTTTTAAATAGAGAGAAGAAACACTTAATCTCTAAAGTTGTTCTTTTTTAAAAACTACTGTTTGCTGTAAAAACCAATAACTCTAATATTATTCTATGAGTCGGGTTCCCTAACCACCAGGCCATTAGCAAGGAAACAAGACAAGTTGCCGTCATGAGAAATTTGAATACATTTTTAATTTGCAAGATTAATTCACCGTAAGTTAAGTCGATAAAAAAATAACGGTGCACATAAATAATGCTAGCACTTAACAATATTGCAAACTTACGAACCCAAAGTGTTTTTAAAAGTTATGTTGGTCAAGAATATAAAATAAAGTTTAACCTGTCTAAACAGTCTTTTCCATTTACCATAATAAACGACAAACGTGAGATTTATTTCTGCTAGCATTTTTTTCTCTTACTAACAGCTTTTAAAAAAATATCAATAATATTAGCCCTAAAATATAAGATGCTGAAAAATATTAATCATTGTCGTCTTAAAACTAATGTTGCTATTGCATTCCTACAGCACGTTTAGAGGTGCTGGTTAATTAAAATATTTGTGTGCGTGTTTGTAGCAATTCACAATAGCAAAGAAGAAAATATTTCACGCCTTTGTTTCTTCTGCATTTCTTCTCCCCATCAAAAGCTTCCGGCAATTGTCAGAGGTATGAAAACAAATACATTGCTTTTTCAGACGTCTTTTAAACGAACCATAAACATATTTTCAGTCATTTGTTTCAATGTACAACGATCGCTACAATGAAATAAAAATTACATTTTAAAAACGTGCTGCCATCTAGTAGCCAAATAGTGAACAACTATACAACTAAGTGAACTCCAAACTCGTTTATTGCTTGTTAAATTACTTGCAAGATAATACATTATTTAATACGTATATCCTAGTTACTAATATTTAATAACTTGTATTGGTATTCTGCAAAATTAATAACAGTAAAAGCATTGTCCTTGACGTGGACTCGGAGTTTATTGATAGTGAGACATCCAATAATTACAAAGTTTGTATCATAATTCTCATGTTGAAAGAGTCTAGATTCACTATTACTGTCTATCAATGAAATATCTGTGGTAAATAAGACATTAGAAACTGTCTGGAATAATTCTGAATAGAAACTTGAAACGTGCAAGTAACTAAAAAATGGTCAGTATGATTTGAGGAAGGGAAGATACGTTTTACAAATACCTTGCTGAAGGAACAGAAACACACCCAGTTTAGTTGTTGTGTAGGAATAATTTTGATGTGTAGGGGAAAAAAGGTGTGTGCGTGGGGGGCAAGACTTAAACGTGAACACTGAATAAAATTATATCATATATATATATATAGAATACTTAGTTCTGGTATAAAATGGCCGACAAGGATATGAAATATATTTTAAAAAAGTTTTTATGAGTAAAGAGGTTAATATTACTTCTGTACAAGATTTCTGTTATGACTAATTTAATTGAAGGTACATGGAGCAGTACCACAGAAAGAATACTGACTATAATTCTAAACTTACTAAGTTTATCTACACAAAATGTAACAAGGTTTTATTAAAATCTCTAAGTGTGTTTTACACAAAAATCAGGTTCCATTTATATGAAATTTGGCAAACTTTAAGTAACTAGTAAAATAAGAGATATTACCTTAGTTTAAAATATTCAATTGTACAAATAAAACAAATTCAATTTCTAATTAGATTTTGACATTAACACAATTTTATCGTTATAACTTTAACTGTAGTTTTTCCGTTTTCCTGATATTTGTTTGACAATGATGAGTTAATGGGCTTTAGCTGAGATATACCTAACTGTGCAAGTTAAAATACATGTACGAAAGGCCAAATGAAAGTATGTTTAATTCATGTTATCTTATTTTGTGTTATAAGTGCTTGCTAAAACAATTTTTTATTTTTGAGAACTTTTAATTTAAATCAGACATTTCAAAAATTCACTAAAAGAGCTTAAGTATTAACACTGTTATCTATCTGTCAATTCTTACATACGTATTTTCCAAATATTACCAACAATTAATTTGCTTGATAACTATGAATAGTAGCATTAATCTTACAGTTTTAATTACAATATTGCCATTAATGTATTATCAATCTTAGATTTTTGAAATCTTAAATCATATTGACAGGATACAAAATATAATCATATGTACATTTATGTAGGGGGTAGGAAAATTTTGTAATGCTTTCAAAGTTAATATTGATACAACTATAAAACAATGACATCTCTTAAATGTCTGTGTAAACATTAAAATTTCTCAGTATGAGTCATCTGCCTCACTCCGAAATTTACAGCTCTATTCAGAATGTTAAAAAAGTTGTGCCTGTTTGTTTGTTTTGAATTTCGCGCAAAGCTACACGAGGGCTATCTGCGCTAGCCGTCCCTAATTTAGCATTGTAAGACTAGAGGGATAGCAGCTAGTCATCACCACCCACTGCCAACTCTTGGGCTACTCTTTTACCAATGAATAGTGGGTTTGACCGTCACATTATAATGCCCCCATGGCTGAAAGGGCGAGCATGTTTGGTGTGACGGGGATTCGAACCCGCAACCCCCAGATTGCGAGTCAAGCACCCTAACCACCTGGCCATGCTGGGCCCTAAAAAGTTGTGAACATCATATAAATCATCCATCTTTAATGAGAGAACTGGAGGATCCAATTTTTTACACTTCATCCAAGTTGTGAAAATTATTTTCTATGGCTTACTTTCATCTAGATTTCTGTAACTCAAGCTCATACTGTTGCATGATGCATGAGACTACTCTATAAGTTTATCTTTTCTTTTTCTACATCAGGCCAAACTTTGTTTTGAGTGCATTTTACTTACACTTACAAGTATTATCATCACAATTGAAGACTCATTTTTCATTAAAAAATAAGTACAGTTCTCAAATGATTCTGACATACAGATTTGTATATCATTTTTTTTAACATTCGTAGCATAGGACAGTGTTCCACATCTGTCATCAATTTTTCATAGCCTAATAATTGGGGAATTCATATTATTAAAGTTCCCTTCCTAATTAACATACAATCTGCATAACATTGTGAATTCTGTTAATCACAAAAAAAAACTGCAATGACATAATTTCAAATTAAAAGAAAAATAAACTTAATTAAACAAATTTTTGTATACGTATGTTTGGAAATCCTGATGCATGCTTGTTTTTCGAAAGAATGACTACCTGATAAACAAATGCATTTGATGGATAGGTATTTCATCACCTTGGTATACAAGATGGTCACAAAAAGAATAATTTTAATTAATTATTTTGTCAAAGTGGTGACATTGTATCATTAGAAGGTTTAATGGTGAATCTTTTTAACGACTGAATAACCTATAATCCATTTATCACTATGTTTGCAAAAACCATTAAAAATTTGCTTTAGATTTTTTGTGCAAAGATACACAAGGGCTAACTGTGCATAGCCATCCCTACTCTAAAAATTATTGATGAGAAGGCAGTAAGCCAACAGTACCCATCAATGACTCTTGGGATATTGTCTGACCATATAATGGGATATTACTATCAACCTTATAGCATCCATGACTTCAAAGTATAGAATTTGTTTTTGCACCAATGGGATGCAAACCCTTAGATTCCTAGTCTGGACATGCTAACCAGTAGAGCATGCCCAGCCAAAATCTAGTGCATAGCCTCTTACTGCAGCAATGCCAGTAGATTCACAGTCTAAGCATGCTAAGCAATAAGTCATGTTTAGTCTTACTAATATCTTAAAAAAACAACAACTACAAAGACTGTCAACAAGTTTTAAACTCAGCATATAATTAATTCTAAGTTAGAGATATTGCAATGGAAAGTTTTGTGCTCCAGAATCTGAAAATCACAATATACTAGCTTAATTCGATTGGGAGCAAGGTATGTATTGTTACTAAAATATATTCAGTTGAATTATAGAAGCTGTATGGAAAGTTTTCCTATAGAAAATCTTATTTAATAAACAGTGTTAAAAGTAACTATATGAAAAGTTAGTAACGACAAGAAATAAATACCTATTTTAACAAAGAAAATGTCAGTCTAGAAAAACTTTTATTTATGAACCACTGTAGATTTATTTAATACCTAGAGGGGCATTCTCACCTTTGGATCATCTGGAGGATCATACTGCACTATCCAATCAACTGCTGGAATATCAAGACCTCTAGCAGCCACATCAGTACAAAGCAAAATTCCCGACTCCGCGTTGCAAAACTGGAAAAATGTTGTTGTTCGTTTTGTCTGTTTTTGTTTTCCCTATACATAAAGCAAGTACCTTGTGTTAATATTGTTGAAAAAGATAAATGACTGATTAATTCACAAAGCCATAAATTATAACTTGTTACAGACCTCTGTTTTACAAAATATAATGTATATCCATAAAAGTTACCACCCATTTCAAAGTGTTTTGGGTAGGCTGAAGTGCTTAACAACCTTAATCAGCTACAGTTTTATACAATTAAACAGTGAAGAAATAGTGTTTATGATTAAAATACAAGTTTCAAAAGTGAATAAGACCCAGTATAATGCTGTTTTAATTCTTTCACTGTATGAAATTTATACGATAAAAACTAAATCATCAAATAACTGTATTTGAATTTGTATATATTTGTTCACAATGTAATATCAATTTAGGTATAAAAAATTCATATAATGTTTACATATCACTAATACAAAAGATCGGTATAAATAAATATCCATTTAAAAGAGTTTTGTTTTACTATATAGTTGTGGAGACTATGAAGTAATCAAAATAAAATACTAAAAAAAATCCCACAGTAGGAAATATAACTGGATAAAAATAACCAAATACATCATCCATTTTACCATTACATATATTAATTCAACCAATCAGAGACTTGTATTTTGATATACTACATTAATTCAACCAATCAGAGACTTATATTTTCATATACTACAAAATCTTGTATTTTGATACTAAATAGAAATATGAAGTTAGAAAAACCTACATGTATACTCATGACTGACAAATCAATATAGTTCAGAAGTTCATGGTGAAACTTGACGGACATACATGAGCTGAAAAACACCATCACTTTCTTCTTTCTATTCTTCTTCAGGAATGTGAAAAGTAGCAAAAACCTTTTTTCTGATGGACAGACGACATAACCCTATAGGCATAAATCAGAAAACTAAATCACTGTGAAATCTAAAAGCTTTGAAATACGTATCTTAAGTTTCCAACTTCTTAAAGGAATTTTTTACATCGTTTCTAAACCAAAGATAGCTAAAGATCAATTACTTGACTTCTTATAAACTGCAGTTTCTATGTTTACCCTAATTTTCTAGAATTACTACGAGTACATAAAAACATTATAATCATGTGTAACAGAGTACATGACAGAGCAGTTAATCAAAAAAATATACAAAAAAATTTTAATTACCTGTTCTAGACCTTCAACTGTTGCCTTTTCTTTAATGTCTTCTATACCAATGCACATTGGTTCCTTCTTCAAAGCCAACTTTATCAGATCGTCTGTCTTTTTGGTTAATGTTGCACTGAACAACATTGTCTGCCTTCTCTCTGAATATCAACAGTAAGAAAATTGTAAATTTTAAAGCAATTACCCGCTTTTAAAGCTGTTTGATATTTATCCAACACTCCATCAAAAAATATTACGCATAAACCGTAACTGAAGTGTAATTTCTGACAAATAATTACAATTCTCTTGATTTAAAATTTCAATTTCAATTCTGCTTCTTTAACTATTTTTTTTTTCTCTAGTGAACTTGCATCTGGATATAGTAGAAATTTTAAAACACTGGTTAAGCAAATGTAAAGTTGGTCTTATTAACACTTATTAACAGGCCAGTACTCCTCCGAGTATTAGACACCAAGTCAATTAAAATGCTGTAAACCTGAAGACTAGGAACATTCCTTGATGATGTCACATTTTTTTTAAGCTTCTAGGTTAATTAGTTTTTTAATAAACTGAGATTACCATTGAAAAGAAGAAAAAAAAAGCAAAAAAAACATTCAATTTCTGATGAAATACTCAGCAAAATGTCGCAAATGGTTGGGAGGGCAAGTTTATGAAGACACTAAGCAATGCTTACTCTTGTGGTATATAAGCATAATATGTTTCCTGACTCCTTGCTGTAACATACAAATTGTTTTACACTTGTCATTCATCTAAGACAGCATCTTTTGTTATCTGGTGGAAAAGATAGTTGCAAGGTTCATGTGTAAAGCTAGAAAGTGGTCTTTTTCCACTAGCAGTCAGTTCAGTGACATATTGAAGTTATGACCTTCCTTAAGATCCATTGGGAATGACCAGTTACGTGCTAGTGCTAGTCACTCTGAGTAAATCTAATATGACTGACTGAAGTAAGTAACATGATGTTTATTTAGTCTGTTATATGATTTCGACTGAACAAGTATGGTAGAAGCTCTCAGTTGGTACAGAATTTTGACTGAGCACAATTCTAGCGAGAGAGGAACAAATTCAGAGCTAATTCTCCAGTAAAGATGAGTGACTATTGTGGCAAGTAAATACACTTTCATTGTGACTGTATTAAAAAAGATAGTTTATTAGGATTCTATATTTGTTTCTATTTCTCACAAGCTCAGTCAGTTAGAGAATACAGAATTATTTTGATGGATCTCCTGTTATTCTGCAAACCTATGTTCCCACTTTTAAAGTAAATCATTGCTATGTGAAAATACCCACCCCTTCTCTTTCAGATTATGTCAAAGTATTCGGTTTATTTTTCAACCTTGTATTTTAAAAACGATATCACTACAATTTCATAATGAAAGGTTTAAATCATCACAGCTTGCTTGTATATTTACATAATAATTTGTTTTACTAGAGACAGTTCTTTATGTCTTGTAAGTAAAGTTATATTCCATTTCTGTATATTTCATTTCTGCTTCAGATATATTAACAGTGTTAATTAATATGTTTAATATATATATGCATATTTCATTTAATTTTTTTTATTATTTTGTTTACACTTATGAGCATTATTTTGAATTTTTACCTTAGTAAATGGAATTAGGAAAATCTAAGCTTTGTAAAACTGGGCTCGAAATTAATGCTAACAAACTAGCTATTACTATTAGGTCATAAAAAATTAATGTTGCGATTTGGAACACTTTCATTAACCACCCCGAAAAAACGTACATCATGTATAATAGTTAAATGAATTGCCTAAATGTCACG